GCTACATATTTTGTTATTGTTGGAATTTAGAAAACATCTCTCATGAAATAGCAACCAAGAATGAAGACAAATGAAGAGGAACTTGCCTCAGGTACCTAGAATTCATTTGTTCAACAAATATTTGTTGAGCATCTGCCTACACATGACAGTGATGCCACTGGGGTACATCAGAAAACAAAGATCATTGCCTTCTCAGAGCCTACATTCTAACCAGGGGAGACAGACAATAAACAACAAACAAAATAATGTAGCCTGTTAGACAGCGATAAGTGCTTTAGGGAAAAAAAAATCTGTAAAATATGATGAGTAGCACTTATGTTAGATAGAGTTGGCAGGGTAGCTCATATTGACAATAGCTAGACCTAAGGCCCTATAGTATGTGTGGCCCATTTGAGGAACAGCAAAGAGACTAGTGTGATTGAGTGGAGTGAGCAATGGGGCAATACTGACACTGAGGTCATCGGTAGGAGGACTAAGACCAGGTCACGCAGAGCCTGCAGCCGCTGTAAAAGAGCTGAGTTTTCACTCTGAGTGAAATGTAAAGCCATTGGAAAATTTTAAGCACAGGGGTGACATGATCTGACTTGGGTTATAAAATGGATCTCTCTGGTCCTGGTTGAAAATATGAACTGTACCGGGAACAAGGGTAGGAACAGGGAGACCAGGTGGAGAGTCTTGCTGAGATCCAGTTAAAGATTGTGGTCATTTATGCCAAAATAATAGCAGTGGAGGTGGTGTGGTAGATGGTAGAGTGAACAGAATTTCTCGATGAATAGGATGTGGAGTATGAGGATGCTTGTCACCCTAAGCATAGATGAAATTGCCATTAACTGAGATGGAGAAGACTGTGAAGGCAGTTGGTTTTGGGTGAGAGTTGGGAGATGAGGAACTTAGATTTGGATATGCAGAGTGTGCGATAGCTCTTAGACATCCTAGTAGAGATGCTTGTTTAATTTTAAAAATTTAAATATGTTAAAAATGCATAGCAAAGTTGACCAGCTTAACCATTTTCAGTGTGTAGTTCATTGGCATTAAGTACATTCACATTGTTGTGCTGTCATGACAACTGTCCATCCACAGAACTCTTTTCATCTTGCAAAGCTGAAACTCTGTACCCATTAAACAATAACTTCCCATTCTCACATCCCCCCAGTCTCTGGCAACCACCATCCTACTTTTGTCTCTGATTTTGACTACTCTATGTACCTCATATATGTAGAATTTTACAGTATTTTTATTTTTTTTAACTGGCTTGTTTCACTTAGCCTCATAGACTTGAGGTCAACCATGTTGTAGCATTCATCAGAATTTCCTTCCTCTTTAAGGCTGAATAATATTTCATTGCACATATATGCCCAGTTTGAGGAGTATTCTACAAAATGCTTGACCTTTAAAAGTGCAAGACGAACAAAGATTGAGTGACTCACAGATCGGAGTACACTGAGTGAGACAATAAAAACTAAATGCAGCATGATGTCTTGGATTGGATCCTGTAACAGAAAAAGGATGTTTATGAAAAAATTGGTGACATCTGAATGAAATCAGCGGTTTAGTATTGTATCAATATTAAATTCTTGGTTTTGATAAATATACCTTAGTTTTTTAAGAGCCTAAATTCTGGAACCTGAGTATAGTAGCTCTTTTGTAACTTTAAAATTATTTCAGAATAAAGTTGTTTTATTTTTTTAAGGTATCGCTTTACTTCTGGACAATGTACTACTGAAAAGATTATTTCCCCTAGAAAACTACTTCTGTGTTCTTAAATCCAAGAGATCCCCTTGTCCCAACGGGTGGAATCCATTGAGATCTTCTGGGCTAGAGACTTGGTGCAGTTGGGCGAGAAGTTATGAATGGGTGAGGCAGTATGGACATAAAAATGTGATCTGAGGTCTTGGATACCATGGCAAGAGATCAGGCTTGAAGAATCAGAGAACTGAGTGGGCCTTGCTTTGGAATGGATGCCCAAAGAGTAACTTCAACTTTAAAATGCGAAAGAGCTATTCAATGATGATTTGGTGAAACATAACAGCCCAACATTAAAGTTTTGCAAATAGGAAACAAAATCACCCTAAATCAGTCAGGTTTTATCTGCCACTCATAAGTGTCCTGCAAAAGAAGACAGATAAATAAAAGTTAAGCCGTAAGGGCACCCTCTCCAGTTGGAACAGGGGGCCTTATGCAGTCAAAGGTGAGGTTGGATTATTTGAGAGTATTTTAGAATATCTGAGGAGCCCCTATGGTTAGCATATGTCTAGACATTCCTTTTAGGAGATAAGACCCAGAAAGCATAAGTGAGTAACCCAAAGACAGAAGAATTCAAAATGATTAGGACCAGTGGCTGAAAAGATGACTATTTCTCAAAAAAAGACAGTATATAATTAAGACTCCTTCCCCAATGTGAACATAATGTGACTAGTTGTATCTGTGTCCAAGATAACTGTTTAATCACTCCTTCTGGTTTTTCTTGGTAAATTGGAATCTGAAAGCTTGTATAGTTAATATAAATTTTCTCGAACGAGTGGATCATCTGGATACAATTTTGATTTCAATTCCCTGTTTTGCAACTGGCACCCAAATAAGGATTGTCTCCAAATGTGAGTAGGCTGAGTCAGTCATAAACAAGCAAAAAGAAGTTTAACTTTTTATTGCTAGTATCTAAGCTGTTAGGAGATGAAGTATTTAATGAAATAGTGCATCTTTTAGGCAATCTTCCTTTATCTTGATGTGTTTGGCCTAGACCAGTGTTCAGCTAACTTTTCCTATAAAAGGCCAGATAGTAAATATTTTTAGCTTTGCAGCCATATATAGTCTCTGTTGAACATATTTGTCATCACTTTAAAAAAAACCTTTAAGAATGTGTTTTCTATCTTTTACCCTATTTTCAGGCTTTGTGATATTGGTTAAAGTTTGGAGACTGATTTTAAACACTGATCTGAAATTAAGTTTCTGGCTATAGATTCATTGTTATGAGCAAAAGATTTGTAATTGTGACTTTAATGGATTTATAAGAAAATGGATTTATAGTTGACCTTTTACTGAAGGCTTTTCAGCACATTCATGTGAGATATTCGCTCATAAATGACACTTGTAAAACCCACCATTACTTGAAAGTTTGCTCTCCAGAAATTAAGTACCTAGTTTTCAATTTCATATTGTTATTCATTTAAGACATGCTTTGTTTCTAAATAGGCTAGTTATTAAAGTCGTTTCGCCTTTTAATAGCAACGGCGATCTGTTTTTTAAGGTTCAATTTAATAATTTGTTTCCTCATTTAACCTATTAGCTGCCGACTTTTTATAGTTTTGTTGCTTTAAATTGCCTCTAAAGCTGCTTTCTTGCTTTCACAGTGTCTCATTTTTTTGTAGTCACAGGAGAGTGCCTCTGATTTGTAGCGGGGCTGTGGTTTTTCACTGTTTCTGCCCCAAGGCTGTCCTTCACTAGACCCCAACAGGTGGCCTGTGGGATTACTAAACCATTCCTAGGATCACTGTGGAGCAAACACCCTCATGCCCCTAAAAAGGCTTTAAGTGGTTGGATAATATGCAGTAGATTTTAGGGATGTATTTTGCCTAATTCACACAGTTTTTCCAAGAAAGAAGATAATATCACACATTTAAAAATTTGAACTTATTTTTCTTCTGTTTATAATTTTAATAATATCCTGTCAAATAATCTTCCATAAATCTTTGCCAAGATTTTGGCAAAATAATGCTTACTCCAGCTGGCAGCCCATTTTAGCAGAATGGTGTCATTTATTTCATTTGTTTTAGCGCTGGGTCTCTAATAACTTCTTAGACAATATTCGAAACTGTTAATATCTTTTCAAATTTCTTTTATCAAGACAAATTTTAAAGAGAGCACAGAAAATAAAGCAGTAATGTGGTGTTTAATCAATATTATTTAATAATCAATTGAACTAAAAGGGAATTGTTTTAGTCAACCTAGTTGATTAGGTTTTATTAGCTTTTCTTGTTTTAAATAATAAAGGCGTTTTATCTCTAATAGTTCTTTTTATAGATATTTGAATTCTGTGAAAACGAAACTCTTTGTTTTTTAAGCAAATCATAGTTTCTTAAATGGCATGCTTTTATTTAGTGGTAGAAATTTTATTTTCTCCTAAGCAAGGTCCAGACTGTTGTTAATATCACCATGTCAACTAGAAGAAACGGAAATTTAATATGCGTATAAAGAGAAAACATTGGCATGTGATTTCTTAAAAAGTCTCTGAAATTCAACATTTAACTTATGTCAGAAACAAAAAATAGACCTATTCTCCATCTATCTATCATGATGTATTGTAATGTTTTAAAGCATATTTGGGGCTTTTGAGTTGTAAATATGTGACAGTGTTATCCATATAATCTCAAGGTTTTTATTTTTTCTTTTAGAAAACATAGATATTCATTTATATATATTGGAATCTGAGTAAGCTAGTAAGTGAGAGTGGTGTGTTTATTTATTCCTTTCTAATTGAGCTATTCTCATAGAGTCTTTAGGTCAGCTGCCATGTTAGTGCTTTCCTGCTTTGTTCTTTTGAGTTGCTCACTGACTGAATGCTGGAAAGGAATGTTTTTAACAGATTAGTGCTGGGGCCCTCTGGTCCTCTCCTTACCCTGCTTGGTCTGCATCATAGCAGCTGCCTTCTGCCCTTTCTGTGGCCCTGCAAGGAAGGGAGTGTGTGTGTATGTGTGTATGTGTGTGTATGTGTGTGTGTGTGTGTGTGTGTGTGTGCGCGCGCGCGCGTGCGCGCACGTGCGCACATACACATAAAAATAAGTCTCTCAGTATGCCTGCATCATAAGGTTTCTCAAGCACATGGAATGAGATCTTTCCCAAGAAAACTCTTTGTCAAGGCCAGCACACATGAGAAAAGAATTTTTGTGCTTAGTTTTGTAACTGTGATTGTTTTTGTTTTATGAAGTTAGAAGAAATTTAAGTCACAAGACATAGCTATGCTTCACCTCTGCATTTACCTGACCTTTCTTCTTGAACTTTTCCAGGTAGCAGTACTTGTCCAAAGATCACTAGAGTTCCAACGTTTCTGAAAAGCAGCACAACCACACTGGTTGATCAGAATGTATCTGATGAAGAGGCTCAGGGAATAAATGGAAAAACGCCAGCGAAACACTCAGCCGCAAGTCCAAAGCCACAAGGTACGCTGATCAGGGTTTTTTGAACAGGTTGGTACTTTATCAGTGAAGGTTACCCAGAAGAATGATGACCACTAAAAATGAGTTTTAAGCTACCAAGGAAAGGAATTGTGTGCATTTATTTGTTTAGGAGAAAACTTACTTTGTGAACCTTCTCAAACAAAGTTGGGTATTTGCTCTGCTCCTAAAATACATTATACATTTTTTCTGTCACAATTCTCTTTATGTTGCGGAAATTGGTTACATGTCCCCTTAAGGGGACTGTGTGTGGTCTCTTCAAGAATGATGCTTGACTTAGTACAGGGCCTAACTTACTGTTTGCGTAGTAAATGTGTAACAAATGAATATGTTTGGAAATACTGTCAGAAGTCATTATGACTTGCTAGATGTCAAAGGGTCTGTGAAACAGATCATTATAAAACAGTGCTTAGCATGCTTAGCAAGAAGATTATTTTTACAATATTAAGGAACCTGGGCTTGAAAAGCCTTCTTAGTAAGTCATCCACAGAAATTAAAAGTAAACGGTCCCTCCATTCAGGAATGGAATAGCCAGCACGTGGTAAAACAATTAAAATAGCGAAAATCTTTGAATCTGTTTTGTTCAGGGACCATTTCCTTTTACAAATAAATTTCTAGTGAACTGTGTATTAACTTGGAGAAGAACAAAATTATAATTTAAATGATAGCAAGGCCTTTTAAAATGTAATATAAAACTAAGCTCCACTGTGGTTTAATGTGCAGTTTCTTCCTAATATGTTTTTATGTACATTGAATGCTGAACATTCAGCCAAGAACAGTAATGGACATTTGTAGAATTACTATACTCTGGAAAAATCAATTTCTGTTTGGTTTCTTTTGTATTCACTTTGGTGTCTTTCCTGCTCTTGCAAAGAGAAAAAGTGTTATAGAGAATGCATTATAAAAGAGCTGGTGTTATTTTTTAGAGTTCTTATGTTTTAAGGATTTGTGAAATAGACCCTTAAAAGGGATTTAAAATGGAATCTTCCACATTATGGGATATTTTCCTTTTGTTCTTACTACTAGCTACATTGGTGGTGATATGAGGTATGGCTATCAAGCAAGATGAAATAATTGGTGATTCAAATGAATAGCCAATTCATGAGTTTATAACCTTTTCTTTTAATCATACTCTTCCCCATGTGTGAATAGAACATAGAAATTGAGAAATTTTTTGATCATGATTTAATTAAGCCATTTATTTGCAGAATACAAAATTCCATCTTGCTCATTAGACCTGAGTTGACAAAGATTAAACAGGGTAAGAATATAAAAAGTGAATATAATTTAATTGTATGTAATTGCCTAGATCAAAAGCAAGAATTTCATTATTTATAAAGCCTTTTTTTTGGAAGTATCATTGCATTACTTCATTGTTTTTCATAGTTCATTAAGATAAATTATAGCAGTGTCGTTCCTGAGCTACCATGTGCTAAAATAATCATATTCTTTAGGGAGACAACATTTGATCTTGCTTCTGCTGTTTGTAGTTATATTAAAGTCAACATATTGCTACTTAAACACATATTTACTTATTATCTTGATTTGAATATAGGTTCATAGATACAATTTTACATAACTACAGAGAATATTTCTAGATATAGTTATGTACTGCTTAACAATGTGGATACAATCTGAGAAATGCATCATTAAGTGAGTTCATTGTTGTGCAAACATCATACGCTGTACTTACAAACCTAGCTGGTGTAACATACTACAACCCTAGACTAAATGGTAGAGTCTATCGCTTCTAGGCTACAAGCCTGTACAGCATCTTACTGTACAAAGAGCAACATGAGATTAAATCAAGCAGAAGAGAAAATGAGGCGATCAAGAGACGTGATAAACACGAGAAATATGAGGCTGCTGCCTGCGGCATAATAAAGCATTTTATTTTACAGCAAACGTTTTGTAAGTAGAAAGAGTACACTCTAAAATAATGATAAAAATATAATAAATACACAAACAAGTAACAGTTCTTTGTTATCATTATCAAGCATTATGTACTATACATAATTGTATGTGCTATACTTTTATACAACTAGCAACAGAGTAGGTTTGTTTACACCAGCATCCCCACAAACATGTGAGTAATGCATTGTGCCATGACGCTATGACGGCTGAGATGTCACTAGGCGATAAGAATTTTTCAGCTCTATTTTAACCTTAAGGGACCACAGTTGTACATGCAATTACTCATTAACTGAAATATCATTAGTAGGCAGTACATGACTGTATTAAACAAATTACATAGAGTATACGTTGTTTTCAAAATATTCTCACTCATTTTTGGCCCTTCCCTGGACCTTATAGTTAAAATTTTAACTCAACTTGGTCATTTCATATTTCCCCAACCCTACTTTTTATTATTATTATTACAATCTGACCTACTATTTATTTTACACATCCAGGTTGGGTTTTTTTTTTTTTTTTTTCCTGTCTTTTGCACTACCACCTCCCCCATGCCTAGCATATAACATAGCAGGCCTTCAGGAATACTTGTTGAATGAATCCCTGTTCCATCATGTTTCCTCCACTTCCTTTGTTTCTGATGTTCTTTGTTTACAACTTAGAATGTGTGCCATAAAGAGACCAACATCCCTGAAGTGAGGTTACACATCTTGATATTGTGAGATCAACTGCCAAATAGATGGGGTACTACTTATTGACTTATTGACAATTATAAGTGTTCCCTATACTCTGGTGGAGAGAAGCTACTTATCATTTCCCCAAACCCTGAAGAACATCTGGATGACTAAGGCTGAGAAAGAAAGGGGATGCTAATGGGGACTTCCTATGCAGAGGAAGAGATTATCATCACACTGATATCTGTATTCCCACTGTATTGCAAATCCCTTACAAATAATGAATTGTGAAGCTGCTGAGGCTTCAAGATCCATTATGTACTTTTAATTTAATTGAAGATGCTTATTCTAGATCAGTGGTTCTCAACTGGAGACAATCCCCCGTTGGTATTGTCTGGAGACCTTTTGCTTGATAAAACTTGTAAGAGTTGCTACTAGCATCTACTAAGTAGAGAGAGGCTTAGGGATGCTGCTCCATATCCTACAAGACACAGGTCACCACCCTGATCCAAAAGAATTATCCAACCTGAAATAGCAATAGTTTGTGAAAATCTGATCTAGATCCAAAAAATAGTTCATAATTAAATTTTGTTTGTTTCTCATGTGGAGTGCTAATAAGATCATAGCTACAATTTGGTGATTTTTTAAAAGGAGAAATAACATTGAATAACTTTATAAGTGGTGAATATATAGTAATATGTCTGGAACAATATCAGGTTTATGTTTGTGTTTATTAATTACCGATAAGTAAGTATTTTTGAAAAATTAAAATTTTTAGAAGGATAAAAGAGCTAAATTTTAAATTAAAGATAAGCTTGCATTTTAATCTAAACCGGAGCCTGTGAATTTAGAAAGAGGTTCCTTCAATAGTCAGGGCTTGTTTTCCCTTGCTTTCGAAAACAATGGTTCATTCACTTCATAGCAACCCTGCCAGTCAAACAAACAAACAAATTAGTGAGCAACTTCAAATGTAAGTCTTTCTTCTCATTCACCACTTTTAATATTGTCCTATTTCCTTCCATACTAGACAAAATCCAAAATAACTTTCTTAGCAAATAAAGCTAATAGTTCTCTTTCTTTTAAGAACTTTGAGCGCAATAGTTGAAATGTACTAGTCATCCTCAAAGTTAAACTGCAATCAGTGTCCCTTTTCATTCTTAATAATTACTTTACATAGTTAGACATTTTTGAATAATTGGTATTGTCAGATTTAAAATTTTTGGTTAATCTGATGGGGCTGAAGTGATATCATATTGTGGTTTTCATTTGCATTTCCTTGATTATTAGTAAGGTGGCACACTAATTTTCCTATTTACATTCTTTGGGCTGTGGAGTGTGGGGAGGAAGAAGTAGTAACTTTTGTTCTAGTGATAATGAACTGGAGGGGCTGATAGGACACCCAGGAGATGTTCAGAGAGGATTTCAAAACATTAACCCTTCATAGTATGAATGAAAGATAGAAATGGCGAGAGAGAGAGAGAGAGAAAAGAATAATTTTCACTTGTCAGTTATATCCTTTGAGCAAAGTATTCATTGTTTTCCTCCAAGACAATGTTTCTGACACTTTAGCCATTTATGTACCACTCAAGATTTTTGTCATATTCTTGTAATGTTTGTGCTTTTATTTAAAATGTGTATATTTACCAATTTACTATACATTTAGATTGTCTATCTTGCTGAAATAGATGTTTCCTCTGTGTATCTAAAATAACTGTACACAGTGTCCACCTTTGTCAACATCATTAAACTGTCTCCCCTCTAGACTATGAGCTCCTTGATGACACAATTAATTAGTTCCTTCATGTATTCTACAAATTTGTCAAGCACTGTGCAAGTAGTTACTAGGAATATAGTTGTGACCAAAACAAATATGTTTCTTACTATTACAGAACCCTAGCCTTGTGGAAGAAAAAGCCGTACATCTATAATGTATTTAATATTTTATTGCTGATCTGTTTAGTAATACTGCTAATTAATAATCATAATAATTTATTATAAGCACTTTCAAAAATACACAGCATTATGAAACAGTTTAAGAGAGGCATAATTGAGATGGGAAAGACTGCTGGAGTCATCTTTGAGCAACTGATTGGCTGATACATATTATTTTATGTGAGTTTTTCAAGCATCTAACTATTTCTGGCACATAATAAATAAATGTTTACTGAGCAAACTCTAGATTAGGATGAATTATTTTATAACAGTCTTTGCACACGGAATTGTGAAGAACATATTCAGATTCATCTTTGAACATTCTAGTTAGAAATGTTGAAATTACTCCTAATGTTAAAACTATTTTTTTTGTTGTTGGGATATTGTCCTGGTTTACTATCTTGGTATACATTTTATACAGGAAATATTTCCTTAAGATTAATAAATATCACACTTACATAAGCCCTCTCCTTCCCAATAGACACTATATTAACTCCCCCCAAGCATATCTTGCGGGGAAATATCTTTTTCATAAAAAGAAGTATGTTATTTTTATTGAGATCGTCTTCTCATTTGTGTTGAAAGTAATGAGGTGAATTAATTGTTATACCTGTAGCTCATTGTGATTATATATATATATATATACACACACACACACACACACACACATTTTTTTTTCTCTGTAAGAATTGATAAGTTGCACAAAAATGATGAGATCTAGGCCAGTGAGCATCAGACAACCATTAACTGAGTTTATAAAAGAGATGAATTGACTGAAAACCACGGTAACCAGCTGGAGAAAATGGGGCATGTAATTAGAAAGAGACATAATACCCCACCCTTCTTCCAGAAGTTAGGAAAAAGATTAAAAAAAACATGATTCGATTAATTTGTTAAAACCAGTAATAGAAAAACACATACATGTTATAATCTTTTATCCAAAATGTAAATTAAGCTCTTATGATATATTTTCTTATCTATAGAGTTTTTCATCTGTTAGGGGCAATTCTGTAGATTTTAGTATTTGGGGAAATGATCTTTTCCTATTCTGTTAATTAAGTGAAAGGCCTATTAGTAAACGTGATGTGTGGTAAATTAATGCAAACCAGCTATTAATGTAGCAGACATTAATAATAGAACTTTAATACCCCCCTTTTACTGGATTTATGATGAGGAGCAGTGCTGATAATGGATGAAGCCAGAGTCTGAATACCAGTTGTAAAATCAGATTAGCCTTGTTACCTCAGCCCAATCACTTAACCTCTCTAAGCCTTCCGGGACAGAAGGGATGAGAAATGGTACCTACCTCAGAGGATTGTAAAGTAAAACACTTATCTAAAATCAAATGAGATAGGTACTTAGGTTAAATGGGAAGTTGCAACATTACTGTTGTTTGTTGTTGTTTTGTTGGCTTTTATGTTAACTACTTACTTCTGGATTCTGTTATATTTGTTATTTATTCAGTTATTGGAAAATGTGTCCTTTAGCAAGCAGTGTATCCCTAGGAATTAGTTTCATGTTTAGCACTTTCTTTTCTCTGTTTAGATAAATAACTGTTATGTTAACTCTAACAGAGCTTGGAATGCTGTAGCCCTATGTAGACGCCTAGGTGGTTAATATCTATTTGAAATGACCTAAAATTAAAAGAACCACTTGAATCTTGGAAATAGAATTTCCATAGAACACAGAGCAAATGTCCAAGATAGAAAAAGGTCCCTTGGTTAAAGCTCAGTACAAATTTGACAAACTTCTTTACAAAAGTTTGATAATGCTGAAGATTTTTATATCCAGGACACCAGAATTTTTTTTGTTAAGAAATACTGAATTATATTAATTCTTTTCCTACAGTGCCTCCAAAGCCATTGCACCTGCAGAATTCACCTTTGTCCACTGTACACCAAACCCCCAGGCATAAAGCTTTATCTAGTGCAGCACAAAGGATGGAGGAAGTTAAACCTGCCTCTGCTTCTTGTGTCTCAAAAGAAAAATCCAGTAAAGTATCAGATCTCATCAGTCGCTTTGAAGGAGGCAGGTAAGAGCTAATTTACAATGGGAGAAGACAGAGGGAAGACGAAAGTCGAGTTTTGAAAAAGATGATGGAGTCAATAAGTTTTCTAAATCAAAAATGTCTTCTTCCATTAGGTTTAATAGGCCTTCAGAAAGAGTGATTTAAAAAAATATATTTATTCTTGCCGTTATATGAATTGTCATTTACTGTACATTACCTGGGTGCAGCACTTATACCACCAGCTTCTATATCACTTTGTGTGCTATATAAATTTATAAATATGCTCTTTCTCATTCCTCTGTATCTGTGCATATCACTCTGTGTGTTTTTTCTTTGTGGGTCCTTCTGTTCGTCAGTGGATATCTGGGTTGGAAAGGCAGAAAGTTGTCTCTGTCTCTTTGTTTCTCACTTTGTATATTTGCGAATGTGACTCCAGTGGGCTGTCCCATCTCTGTGGGCTTTATAGTTATATATTCTTTAGTCCTAATGTTTTAAAAACAGTGGGTGAACTATTATATATTTCTCGCTTGAAGATAAAAACAAACTCACATAAGTTGCTTTTCTATTTATATGACCCTCAATTGTTTTTTCTTAGAATTCCCATCACTGACAAATAGAATGTTTAAAAATTTCTATCAAAAGCATTTTATTTTTATATGTCACCAAAAGTCTGTATATCATTAAACAGAATATATATATATAACTTCACTTTCATCCTTGAAGCCACATATTTCAATTCGCTCCAGTGTGATATTGGGTAATGTTTTCCCATTAAGTGATTATTTTATTTATCTGCAGTGATTTTATTACTTATTAAATATTAACAAAGATTATTGAATATTGTTAAATATTAATAAATATTTTAATATTTGTTTATTTATTATTACTTATTTAATTAAGCATAGCTTGGAAATGCTTTCAAAATCTTCTAGAAATTGTAACCAAGTGTAAAACTACAGTGTCCCTCATTTAAAATGAGACTACATTTAGTAACAAGTTCTGGAGAAAATTAGTTCAGAAGCCTGTCTTCATTCCCAATCAGTTGTGGGAATTTGGATCATGAATATTTAAACTTCAACATCTCCCACTCTAAAGTAGGATTTGTAATACCTTCTCTATCTTAAAGTCGTCTTTACTAGAATGAGTCAATTCTACTTTAAAAGTTTTCTTTCCCGGGGCAAATTGATTCAATTGCACAGAGCGACTCCTCATATTTGTAGATTTTCAGGGCCATGTCCAGTGACAGCATAATTTAAGGAGGCACGGGAGCCCCGACCCCTATCTATTAGGGTACATGCCAGAGCATGAATCCCCTGAATGGGTCGGTATGCCAATGGCTGAGTCCTCTAAACTTCAAAAATGCGATAACCTACTCTTTCCATTC